TTCCCTCCTCCGGTTTTGTTTGTTGAGCAGGATACGGAGTCTCGTCTGTCTTCCCAGGCTGGAGTGCAGGTGGCCGGATCTCAGCTTCACTGCAAGCTCCGCCTCCGGCTTTAGGCCATCTCCTGCCTCAGGACCTCCCGAGTAGCTGGGACTTGACAGGCGCGGCCGCCACGCTCGCCCGGCTACGTTTTTTTTTGTATCTTTTTAGTAGAGACGGCGGTTTTCAACCAGTTGTGTAGCCAGGATGTCATCGATCTCACTCGACCTCGTGGATCCACCCTCTCGGCTCCAAAGTGCTGTTTGGGAGTTACAGGCGTTGAGCCACCGCCCGGCCTGGCCACACATTTTAACATTGAAGTTTGGTGATGGGTTCATTTTTATTTTCTTACTTTATAAAACATGAATTCTCAGTAATGATGTAACTTAAATTTTTTTTTTTTTTTTTTTTTGTGATGAAATCTGCTCTGTCACTCACACTGGAGTGCAGTGGGTGCGATCTCAGTCATGCAAGGCTCTTGCCTTCCCGGATCACGCCATTTCTCTGCCTCAGCCTCCCAAGTAGCTGGGACTACAGGCGCCCGCCACCACACAGGGCTAATTTTTTGTATTTTTTAGTAAAGAATCAGGTTACGCACTGTGTTAGCCCAGGATGGTCTCGAGGGCTCCTGACCTCCTGATCCTCCCGCTCAGCCTCCCAAAGTGCTGGGATTTACAGGCGGTTGAGCCCACCACCGCCCAGCCGTAACTTAAATTTTTTAAAGAAAACAGTGAAGTTTGGCAAAGCAGTCAGTGGCTATGCCTAATAGAATCCCAAACGTTGGAGGCGAGTGGGAAAGGACTGCTTGAGCGCCAGGGAGTGCTCGAGACGTGGGTCTGTGGGCCAACATAGCAAGATGCCTGTCATCTAACTGTAAAAAAAAAGACGAAGAGTAAAGTCTTAAAGATGTTGAAATGATAAAAATGATCAGAGCAGACAGGAGTGGGTATATACCATCATACTGCGTCCTAGCACTACTCCTTTCTGGCTTCATCATGATTGTTTGCTGCACTATTTCATGAGAAGTGAGTTGATCTTGATTTTTTCATTTTTAAATTGCTTGAAACGTAACAGAAGTACTTTATCAGAATTAGGGTCTTTTATGGTTAGAATGAATACATATGCTTCCTAATTACAGGACCATTTTATCAGTGCGCGTGTTTTTCTTACATATAGTGTAAATGTGTGTGGTATTAGTGCTATATATAGTATTTTAAAAATCTTTTTTTTTTTTGAGACAGGAGTCTCACTTGTTTCCCAGGCCTGGAGTGCAATGGCGTGATTGGCTCATCTGCCAACCTGCTGCCTCCAGTTCAAAGTGATTCTCCGCCTCATGCCCCTCCGGTAGTAGGCGCTGGCATTACAGGACATGCGCCACCGAGGCCCAGCTTAACTTTGCATTTTTAGTAGAGATGAGATTCCTCCATGTTGGTGAGGCTGGTCTCAAACTCCCAACCTCAGGTGATCCACCCTCCTCAGCCTCCCAAAGTGCTGAGATTACAGGCATGAGCCACCATGCCCGGCCTATTATTTATATCTTATCAATTCTTTAGGTGGCCAACTTCTTCCCTGCATTATGCTGTTCCCTCTATCTTTTTGGTTTTCAACCCTATCTGCAACTTACAGTCACTTGGGGAGTTTTTCTAAAAATTGCCCAGGTCCAGTCTCTGTATTCAATCATCTGAGATAGGGCATTTGTATATGTAATTATTTAAGTATTCAATGTCTTACCTTCTTGCTGGACTGTTTCATGAAAAGTAAGGCCTGTGTCCCCAGTGTCTAGTACAGTGCCTTTGCTATAGCTGTTTAATAATTGTTAAATGACTACTTCTATTTGCGACATATTTTAATTTTGTATCAGAAAGAGCTGGAACTATTCTTTTGCAGAAAAACCAAGAGAATATTTAATATCTCTATTGGAACGACTGAGAATTGCAAAAGTAACAGGCGTAGCATTTCCTTTCTTTATGGATAACTCTAACATTGTGGCCATGTTTGAGATGATGGACTCCTCAGGCAGAGGCACTATATCATTTGTGCAGTATAAAGAAGGTCAGTACATTCTACAAATTGAGGTAATAGTTTGTGGTCATTCCATAATTTTTTTCTAGCAGAAAATACTTCTCACTTTGTAAAATTCTCACTTAATTTCTTCTCATTATTTTACAGCCCTAAAAACTCTGGGTCTATGCACTGAAGATGAAGATTTAAAAGATGATGGACATATAATAACTTTGGATAAATTCAAGGAGGAAGTGTAAGTTTATTTTTAAGTGACAAATATTTTAATAAGGTGGCATGATTTTGAAACATAACGCCCTTTAAAATAGGTTCCTATCTTTTGAAAGAAATATTTTGTTCCCTTAAAACTTTCAGCTGACTGGAAAGTGAGGACAGGGAAGGCTGACAGTAAAGTCTCTAAGCTCGGGAATAGGAGGGGAAAATGCTGGGGTTAGAGAGGAAGCTCCGGAGGTAGCTTCATTCTTTTTTTTTTTTCTGAGATGGAGTCTTGCTCTGTTGCCCAGGCTGGAGTGCAGTGGCAGTATCTCAGCTCACTGCAACCTCCACCTCCCAGAGCTCAAGCGATTCCTCTGCCTCCACTCTCCCCATTAGCTGGGCTTACAGATGCCCGCTTAGTCACCAGCCCAAACTTTTGGTAATAGTAGAGTGCAGGGTTTCCACCCTGTTGGCCAGGCCCTGATTCCGAAATCCTGACCTCAGTGATCCACCTGCGCTTCGGCCCCTCCCAAATCTGGGGATTACGCATGTAACGGGCTGCGCCCAGCCACCTCCTTCTAAATAGGAAGCCCCAGCAATTCCCAAAGGAATGAGCTGAAACGAATCACCACTATGCGTGGGACACTAACAGAGACAACTTTGAGCTCAACATACCTAGCTGGAAACTCTCTCTATAAAATACAACTAAGTACCATGTTACTCCCAAAATATTCCTCAAATTATCACAAGAGTCACATGTTTGTATCAGTAGCATAGGCCTGCAAATGTTAGTCTATAAC